CCGCCCGCCGCCATTTCGCGGCCCGACACGGGGGGTGTCGTGGCTTCAATGCGCCGACCCCTCCTTTACAGCCGGGCTGCGAGGGCGGCCGAGCGGCCGGTGCCTCGGCGGAGTGTCGAGGGAGGCTACAGAGGGTGAGGGGGTTTTATGTGGCCCAGCCACAGGCTGGACCCCCGAGCTGTGGCCTGAGGAGCCCCACAGCCTGCCACGGTTGTGCCGTTGCTCCAACGCCCCTTTCTAAAAACAGTGAAAAAACCCACTTTTAATGCTGTTTCAGGAAGAGGAGGACCTGGGGAAGAAGGCAAACCAGCAATCTCTCATGGGAAGCATATGAGATCGCTACGTGAGCACATGTGGGGCAGAGGGGCCAGCCCAGGGGAAAGGTGCTGTTGGGGCTCGCACAAAAATCCTTGGTGCCGCTTGCCCAGCTGGGAGGAAAAGCCCTGCCCCCCTCACCTGCTCCCCCCACCAGCCCACCCTCCTGGTTTTTATGAGCTGGGTCATGCCTGAGGGGGATCCCTCCCCACGGTGAGCCCGGCGAAGCGCCACGGGGACCTGTGGCAGATGCTGCCCTGCCAGGCGTCCCCGCGTCCACTGAGGCCCCTTCCCTTCGCGCCCCCACCCTCCCTGGAGATCGCCTTTCTCTGATCTCTCTAATCTGCTCTGATCCCCCCTGATCGCATTACTGCTCGCCCATCACCTGCGCTTGCACCTCTGCCTGCTCTGTCATGGCAGCCCTGCCAGCACAGGCAGCCCGAACCGGGAGCTCCTGCCAGCCTTGCTGGGGTCTCACAGGGGCCTCGGGGGCTGCGGCACAGACTGTGAACATGACCCTGGGACCGGCCATCTCTGTCTTGTGTGACAGCTGGGCCATGGACCCACCACAGGGCAGGGAGGCTGTGCTGCTGCGCTGGAAGGGGGAGCAGGGGGGGTGGGACAAGGCCCACGGGGAACCCCACAGCACTTAAGGGGTTCCAGCAGGCTGGCAGCAAGCAGCAAATAAAGGTCTCATGAACAAGCGCCATCAGCACTGAGTGGCCAGTTTGCGGCTGAGCGGGGAGATGCGGGTCTGGGGCCGGCCATGCGATGAGCAGCAACAGGCTGAAGTGTGGATGAAGGGGCTCCCCCAACCCTTTACGCTGGCCTTGGAAACATCTCCAGCGAACGTGCTTGGCGCCAAGCCTGAGGATCTGGGCTTGGAAAGAAAGATGTAGGCAAACTCCATCCACTGCTCTGGACAGAGCTGCTTCTGCCCCCCGAAGCTAGTTGAGTATTTCCTCCCATTCTAAAGAGACGCCCCTGAGAGTCCTTCAGCCACGAGCACCAGCACCTCTGGCACTAGCAGACACTGAAGTAGCTCACAAGGGCAAGTCCTATGTCTGGAAACAGTCTGAGAGTACTTTGGACTCCACGCTCCCGTCAGAAGGTGTTCTCAGTCTGTCACCCAGCTGAACGCCTCTCCAGATAGGCTTTGACATCTGGAGGCAACATCTGGAGGTGTTAGAGAAACTCTGAGACAGGAAGGTATCAAAATCAGTGTCCACCAGTCCCTGCAACACCCCAACATCCTCTAATCTAAAAGTATGTCCAGAGCTGCTTTTGCCAGGAACTCGAGGGCTGTGGGTGTTTGTGAACTGAAGCCTCCCTAGAGATGAAATGACCCTCCTGATGTAAATACACGCAAAACTACCCGCATGGGTACCAACATCTGAAGTCCCCACAGATCCCGGCATCTCTTGTGGCCACAAACAAAGGGAGATGCCTCCTCCAGCCATTTCTGAGAAGAGAGGGGCCTCACTTGATCCTGCCTGTGATTCCTCAGTGATTCTAGCACATGCTTGGGATCGGGCCCTGCACAGGATTGGACACAGGGTGGCAAAAATCCTGTGACTCGTATTGAGCATGTTACGGACATGTCACTCTGACCCTGTGGCTTTTAACCAAATAAAGAGGCAAGGACAAATCTGTCAGGGTCTTGTATTTGATATTCGAGGCACTGCTGTGGGATCTCCCCCTCACGGCAAGCTCAGCCCTCAAATGTCTCCAGTCACTCTTTGTCCTTAGCAAAATGGCCCCCTTGCCGCTTTGGTTTGCATTAGGTGATAAAAAGCATCTCAGCCCTTTTGCTGTAGGTATCCATTTATGAACAGAGGTAGAAGGGCAGATGAGGACTGGACCCTGGTGGCTATTCGGGCTTTGCAGTCAGCGTCACTGCCCTCTCCGGGGAAGAGAGGCTGCAAGGAAGGACCACTGAAGTTGGGAGTGAAGAAATGTCACTGGGAGTCTGGATCCAAAGTGCTGTTTGCTCCCAGCCTTGTTAAATGCAAAGAATATGTGAGAGGAGGTGCCCGGGCCTTTATGGTAACACCTAACAGCCTAGTTTCACAAGAAAATGAAACAAATAAGACATAGCACTCTGTGTGTGACTGTATCCATGCCCAATTTCAGCCCTAGCAGGCAGAGGAGTAAAGAGCTCCGTGGCATGAAGTTGCTACATGGCTACTGAAAATGGGCGGCCAAGGGAGGAAATAAAAACACTTGACTCATGCCCCTGTGAAAGGGAAAGGCTGCAGCATGCTCTCAGGCCATTAGACACTGGAGAATCCAGAGGAGAGCGTGCTGTCAAAACAGGGATCTGCATTAAGCAGGGCACAGTTTGCTGCTTGACTTAGGGAGCGACTTATGGGGTTGGGAGCAGGGCACGAGCTGGGCTGTGCCACATCCCACCCTTCAGATGGCCCCTGCCGAAAATTGCAAACTGCCGGGGGTGATGCCCAGACAGGACTTGCATCCCTTCTCTCACTGATAAGCAATGGTGCTGCAGCTTCCTCCTGAAGAAAGGGACATGGTCTCTCAAATCCGCATGAGGAGAAACCCTGTCAGATGAACGGCCTCATCCTGCCCCCAGGACTGATTTTATTGCCACCTTCAGTAAGAACAGAATGGGGCCCTGACACATAAGCAAGGTATGGGCAAGGAGACTAAAGCCAAGGAGAGAAGCCAGGAACCTGCACTCCTTGCCCAGTCCCTTCATCAGGAGATATCCTCCTCCTTGCAGAGGTGGCAAAGCCAAACCTAAAATGGTGAGACGTGTCTTCATACCACCACTTCGATATACTCCAACTATGAGAGGCAGCCCCAGCCCTGAAGACCTTAATGCAAATGCTCCCTCAAATCTAATGTTTTTATCTGGAAGAGCTCAGTCCCAGCAGAGTCGGCAGCTTTGCCAGGAGGAGAGAGAATACATTTTATGCTTTATTTCTTGACCTTCTTGCCCTTGCCCTTCTTCTTCTTCTTCCTTTTTGACTTGAAGACGGACCGGACCAAGTAGCCTCTCCAGAAGGCCTGGATGCGGATGGCAGCAAGGGTCTTGGTGGTCAGTTCCTTCAAAGCCTGCTCCTCCTTCTTCTGATGTATCCGGCGCTCCTCCTCAATCTGGGAATACTCCTGGAGAAGCACAGCGTGTTTCTCCATCAGCAGGGACAGCTGGGCCTTCTCCTCGGTGTAGGCAGCATCAACCTCCTCATACTCAGCCTAGCAAGACAGCAGATACCAGGTACAGCAATTTTGAGGGCATTCAGCAGCTCGTCCCTGTACATCCCTAGGTAAGGGTTCTTAAACACATGCTGAATCCAGGCAGAACCACAACTGGGAGATGAGTCTTTCCAAAGGGACTCAAAAGGAGGCGTGTGCCCAGCCCTCAGGGAATTTCATGAGATGCCAGGTCCTAGTATCTTCATGCTCCCCTGAAAAATACTCTCATAATTCTCCCTGTGTTGCAAACAGCATCCACCCTCAACTGGGAACTCTGACCAGGTAACACACACCCAGGTCAGAGCCCCTCCTGCATATGCTCTGAGGAAAAGGACACATCGCTGCAGTTTGGGTAAGGCTGAGCCTGAGCTGACAGCTTTGCTAAGAAGTTCTTTTAGATGAGTGGCACGGAAGCCCAGCTAATGTGCTGTACACTGCTGAGAGCATGAGAAGAGCCAGACCATGTCAGCCTGGAAAAGGCCGAGGACAGGTAGTGTTACTGCACTTCCAAGCTCAGCAGAAGTTTATGCCTTTCCTAATGCCTTTGAGGAAGCCACATGGAGGTGGAAGATTAGGGGAACCAGCAGTGTGGATGTGCGTCTGCCTTAGCAAGTTCTGCCCCAAACCTGCCGTGACGTGGTGCTCCAGCCACCCAGCAGACAGGAAACCAAAATAATCATGTTGTTAAACACCTGACAAGGGGGGGATCATTTCTTACAATTAGCAGTCAGTTTCTAGGCCCCTCCCTATGTTCTGCTTCGTTAGTAATCCAGCAGCTTCTATCCATCTCCATAAATAGGGCAGGAACAGGAGAGCAAGTAGGGCCTTCTCAGAGGTGAGGCTGGGGGGGTGCTGATGTGATTCTCAGCCTGCTGTGGTTAAGTTGGATGCCAAGGCAGCAGTATGCAGGCTGTTTGGTTTGTTAGCACTTGAGAGACATCTCTCAAGAGGTCCAGCAGAAACAGGAGCATGATTTGGACACCAGATAGGGCCAACAGGATGAAAGATTGAAGCAAAAGTGAAAATCCTGTTCCCTAGCATCAGATGGGTGTGTCTGACAGAACGTGGCAACCCATTTGCCCCCAAATACTGCAGGATTTAGCAGTGGATGTAACTTCTTCTAAAGTCAAGGCAGCAGAGAACTCCTGAACACATAGGCAGGACAAAGATACCTTTCCTTCTAAAGCCTGTACTTCTTCTGGATGGAAAAATGCCCCTCACTTCCACGGACTCCTGTGTAAGAGCCACGTGTTCATTTGAACAGGAATCTACCTGAATGTTACCACCTCATGGGAGAGCAAAGCACTTCAAAGAGGATACCTGTTTTTCTCCCATGTCTGTGTCATATTTCTGGATCCAGTTCACAATTTCCATCTCCACTCTGCACTTCCTCTGAAACAGAAAACAAGATAGGTTCCTTGCAGGCACCTAAAGCCTGGTAAAAAGTAGCCCGAGTTAGAAAACAGTGTCGCTTTGAGCCCCAGCATCATTATATTTGAGTATCACACCTCCTCCTTGTGGCAAGCTTCCTTCAGCTGACACATATTTTGTTTGCCCTGGTTTGGTGGTTCTCATGGGACATTCCCTGAGGCCAAAAGGGCCATATTTGGTTTACAGCATGGAGCTGGGTGAGGGCTGAGGATTGAAACGCATCTGAAAGGTGCGTTCTGTGGTAGGAAATTAACATGTCTAATGGAATGTGGCAAGTCATCGAGAAACTGGGGCAACCACCCTAACATTGAAACAATAGAGAACTGCTAAACATGAAAGCAGGACAGAAAGTACTCAAAAGATGCAGCCTTTTAAAACAAAGAGATATTTCTAGCTGTAAACAGTTTAACAGTGGCTATACTGCGGTATAACCAGGTATGGGCAGTTTACCCCAAGCTGCTCTATCTGTGCTCCGTGGAATCATCAAGAGAAAGATCAGCTAGAGCCCATCACAAGCGCCACACGGTTTCCTGTATGACACTGACCCAGGGTGTCCCAAGGGCTCCCAGGCCATCATGAGGTCAGTCCTCAGCTATTTAGACCACAAGCACAATCTTGGGACACCCAGGGCCAGGGCATGTGCTAAGGAGGGGGAAAGGAGACCTCTGTGGTCAGTAAATCTGCCTGCCTGAGCATTAGGATGAGCTGAGCAACTCATCACCAAATACTGCAGTGGCCCGCAGCCTCAGAAGAAACTGCCTGATGAAGCCACTCCATTAAAGGAGGTGTAAATGGGTGGATTTGGGATTTTGTACTGCAACTCTAACTTGCATTTGATGCTTTGTCAGTGCCCAGCCCCACTTTGCTCTACATCGTCCAATACAAGAGTGAAAGATGCCCCATTACAGTGTGTGCTGTCCTGCCCGTGGGAGGCCAGTGCTTGTTTGGAGTAAATACCAAGTAGGAGCAAAATGAGGGGGAAAATGCTCTTGTTCCAGTTCTAGATTCTCTGTGCCCTGTGTCACCAGCATGCTCTGCTCAGGGCAGAGCTGTCAACGCAGAGGCCTGAGCCTGCCTGCTGCTCCTGTTTCCTCCTTTTGTATCTGCTCAGCACTGCGATAAATCACATTTCCCCCTCATTCAACTCAACCTGACTCCTTGGCTTGTGTCTTCAGCAACGTGTCACAGTAGGAACTGCTTAGCTCCCAAGATCAGCTACGCTCAACCTTGAATACTACAATCAACTCTCAAAGATGGCTTTATATAAAGCCAATATTGTGTTTGCTCTGCTTACCCTACACTAAATCCCTTGTTTCTTAACATATGCCGTGCCTATTTTGCTGTAGCCTTGCTGCTCTGCGCTCTGACTAGTCCACAACCTCTCCAGCATGCAGTGTCACAGCGCTGTATAAAGGTGTTTTCAGAGCTAAGTCAGCAGGCGGAAGGAGGACCTGTGAGCAGGCTACTTCCCTGCTGTCGCTGCAGGGTTGCTTTCCACTGGAATCAGCAGAGCATGAGGACAGGGCAGGTATACTCTGACAAACAGCATGTGCATCCTGCCAGGAACTAGCAGGAACCAAGTAATTACTTGCAGCAGCCAGCAGCCAGACCTGACAGCACTACAAAAGGCTTTATATCTCCTCTTCTAGAGCTCTCCTCCTGTTTACCTTTCTGAGAGCCAGCTCTGATGCTCGATGCTCCAGTACAAGTGCATTGAGTTGTGCTCCTAGCTGCTGAATGTCCTGCTGTAGCCTAGCACACCTGGCCTGGGAGGCTTGCAGCTCCTCTTCTCGCTGTTTTTCTCCTTCCTGCTTGATCTGCTGGATGCCAGTCTTGCAGTCTGTGGTCAGATCTTGCATGCCGTTTTTGAGGTCTTTGATCACATTGTCCTTCATGTGAATCTAGACCCAGAAAACAAGAGAAAGAAATACCGTTGAGAAATGCAGGGGAGGCGTAAGGTGGGCAGGAGAAGTAAGGCACCCTTGCAAAGGTGGAGGAGATCTAAGAAGACACCCTGCTGATCTGGTAGCGACAGGGACCTGCCACTGCTGGCTGAGGGAACAGAGTTAGATTTACACAGGGTGCTTTGGAAACTTTCCCCCACTGCTCCTCTGGGAACCTGTTAATAAAGGTAGAGAATGAACAAACCATACCGAGACCCACTGGCACTGCCATCTGAGGAAGAGCCAAAATCAGAGCCGCTGGAGCGAGCCCCGTGGCTCCCTCGAGCTTTGGATTAGGCTCAGAGTGACTGTCTGGGGGATGCAGCTCAGTGTGCTGCCTGCAAGAGAAATCCTCAGCTGGGACCAGTGAAACAGATTTATTCATGATGCCCTGGACAAGCTGCCAAATTGCACATAAAAATCTCAAGTGTCTCGATTCACAGATCTCCAAGGAGCGGAGGGAATGGGGAAAGCAGGCCCTTGTCTCTGTTAGCACCATTCAGTGCAGCGAGCACATGACAAAACCTTCCCCTCCGACCCCTCTTGCAGGAAGGAGAAAGAAAAGCATACATATAAAACAAAGAGTTGCTTGTCAGGAGTTCAGGGGCTTGGATGCTGGCACAGCCCACGGACTCACAGAAAGAGCCTGGGAAATGCCCATTGGTTTATCTGTACCTCAGTTGCCTTCACTGAAAAAATAAAGAATTTGTAGAATCACATACTAATCGCAAATGCTCTAAGGCAGCTAGTATTACAGAGTTGGAAGTCACAGAAATGTTGGTTTTAAGCAAGACTGAAGGCAGAGCAGATATTAAAAATGGATTTTAATCAGAGCAATCTCTGCCTGGAATGACTTTTCATCATTTCATCAGCAGTGAACGAAGCCTCACACTGGCAGCTGACATTGTAGCCCTGCCAAAACACTGCCGCAGCAATTTGTGTCTGTTCTGCAGCTCCTTTTTAAACTCAGTGACTTGTGTCATTCGAGTTGGCCGGTGAGAACAGGTTCAAAACATGCCAAATTAAAGTTTTTAAAATATCAAGCATGCAATAAACATTTTTCATTATATTTTACAATGAAAATAGTGTCTTTAAATTTAGGATCTGGTTTAGAAATCATTTCTGGAACTTCCTCTTTCGGAACTGCAAGAAAGGGATCAGTTTTTAGCTTACCAAAGTTTTGCTTCAGTAACACTTTGTTGGAAAACATATTCCCACAATATCGTACCTCCTCCTCTTGAGTCCGGATTGCTGCTGCCAGTTCTGCCTGTAAAGCTGTGATTGCTTCAGTGTTTTTCTTAATCTGGAGGGAGATGTCTTCCATGAACTGAATCTTTTCTTCCTCTTCCACAGGACTAGTCAGGAGTGTCTCAAGCATGAAATTCCTGAACTCCCCGAAGGCTTTGATAAACACTTCAGCTGGTGACTCTCTCGCCCAGGCTTTGTATTTCAGAGCCTGGCAAAGTGAAGGGTTGGCCAGCAAGAGTCTCAGGACATTTCTAACAGAACATTTCAGACGTTGCTCTAGCAAGCAGAGACAGCCCCGTTGTTCCTCAGCTCTCATGGTGTCCCCTTCTTCAGAGCTGGCAAGCAGGTGCTCCATTTCATTTGAAAGCTTTTGGTGCTCGATCAGGCTGTTTGTGATCTCAGGTCCCAGCATATCAGCAAACCTGTCCAGAGAGTTGATAATACATGGGATCAAACTGCTCAGCTCCAGCTTGGCAATCGTCTCATCCAAGACAGTTATGATTCTTTCCGTCTCAATGCTGTCAGGTTTTAACTGACGTGGATCTAACATCTTCATGGCATCTAATGTAATCGTTGCCTTCTCTGGAGTTGCCATGCCCTTCACCAGGGGCTTGTTTCTTTGCTTCACGTCCTGAGATGGTACTTGGAGCACAGCTGGATCCCCTGTTGCCATGGCTTCAGTTAAACACTTGTGAGTTGAGTGTTTTGAGGTCTAGAAAGGACACGACATCTCCTACACAGGGCGAGACTCAGAGAACATCTCTGCTGCTGCTGTCACATATTCTTCTTTCTCAGATTTTATCTCTGAAAGGAAAATGTGGTGACAGCATTAGAGAAACAATGTAATTTGGGCAAACGAGGGAGTTTCAGATTACACCGGAGCTCTCCCTGGGTCTGGGCACACGGTCAGGACATGGGGTTGTGCATCAGAAGTGGTCTCTATCCCAGAGAGGCTGTTGAACACCCACAGGAAGGGAGGAGAGTAATGGACTCCAGGATTTGAAGGGTGGTGGGGAGAAAGCTTCCGATTCCTTCTAAGTAGCAGCTGAGGTGGAAGGCACAGACTGCAGCTCTGCCATCCTTAGAGGTGTGTGGAGAGGGGCTTTCTGGTCCCTGGGGCCACCTCAGAGGGAAGGGCAGGGTTCCTGGTGTGAAACACGCACCTCCATCCCTCTGGGCCTGCCACAGTCAGAAGGACAAGGTGGGAGAGAGGATCTTGGTGCCCGGAGGGGCTGCGCTGACGGGGACAAGGGCAAGAGGAGGGGGCAGTGAGGGGGCAGAGAGCAGCTGTGTGTGGGAGGCTGACAGGGAGTGAAGGGTCCCCTCGGTATGGGTCTGGGGGCAGCAGGGTACCAGGGGAACCCAGGGATCCCCTGCTTGTGGGAGAGTCAGAGGGCAGGGGGGGCAATTCCCGGTGGGGAGGACCCCCCGTGTGAGGGGCAGGAGGTTCGGGAGGGGCCCCGGGGCAGGAGGATCCGGGGGGGCGTCTGAGGAGAGGCCCCGGGGCCTGGGCGGACAGCGGCCTAGGGGGGATCCCGGGGGGTCGGGACCCAGGGGGCCGGGGGTATCTCAGGGGTCGTCTCCCGGGGGGTGTCGGTCCCGGGATG